AGCAGGGCTGTGGGGAGCAGCCAGCAACTGATTGTTTGCTGCTGGGCAGGGTGAGGGCCCAGGAGCTCAGGGGGCTAAGAGACAGAAGATGCTCTGAGTCAGGAACCTGGCCAGGATCCCCTGCCTGTCTGTCTGGTGTCTGGCTGCCGGCCCTGGTAGAAAATGGATGAGGCCCTTTGCAGAGTGTCCCCAGGTAGGGGGAAGAGAGGAAGTTTATCTTTTATAGAATTGAGGCCAGTGGCTCAGGGGACCTCACGTCTCAGGGCTCTGCAGGAAGCCTGACCGAAGTGCACCTTGGGACCTGCGGTCTCCTGCCCCTGGATGAAATCAAGAACAAAGGAAGGCATTTAGCCACCAGCCCATGGGGGATCCTGGCAGGACCTGTCAAAATGGCTCTTCGTTGACAAGAGCTACAATTGGGGAGCCTGGCTCACATGGAGCTAATTAAAAAAAATATATATATCTACCGCTATAAACCACAGTCATTATGAATCATTTTCTTTCCAGGCCCATCAAACTGGGTTTCTTAATTCAGGCAGGAGGAATGTGACCTGGGAAGGTATGGCGATGAATACTGCCCAGCTGTGTAGTTCAGAGAAAAACAGCCAAAAACCTCTCCTCGAGGCTTGCTTCATTTCCTTTAATGAGAACTCTGACATTTTTGCTTGGGCAGCCAGAATTTGAACTGAAGATACTGTTGAGAGAAGTTGTTTCAAAAGCTTTAGGGTTTCCCCCCTTGTGTTTGGGGCTGTTAGGACTTGGCCAGGGTCATCCTGCAAGTCCGTGGAAAACCTGTAAGGAGAGGGGTGGGTTTCTAACAATAAGTTCACGTGGTCCTTTCCCAAGCTCTCCGGAGATTTTTTTTTCTTGGTTTTGTTTTCTTTGTTGTCATCAGTAACTGCTGGCTCAATTTCTTAGATCAAGCTATTTTGGAGTTTGCACATCTAAAACCCTCTCCAACTTTTGAAAGTGAAAAGCGTCACTCAAAAGCACCCGAGCACTTTCTTCTAACACTATAGGTGCATAGAAATAAATAAATAAAGCTGGCCCAGGGGCTACGGATCTATATGGAAGAAACTCGGTCCCTAGAGATTTCTCAGAGAGCTAAGGGAACATGAAAATAGAAGCTAAAAAATAAATGAACAAGCAAAACAGAAGCAGACTCACAGATACAGAGAGCAGACAGATGGTGGCCAGGGGGTAGGGGGGTTGGGGGGTTGGGTGAAAAAAGTGAAGGGACTGAGAAGTACAAATTAGTAGTTAAAAATAGTCACAGGGATGTAAAGTACAGCACAGGGAATATAGTCAATAATATTGTGATAACTACGTATGGGGCCAGGTGGGGGCTGGAAACATCAGGGGGAACACTTTGTAAAGAATATGATTGTCTAACTGCTGTGCTGTACACCGGACTACAACAAAGTAATATTGAATGTAAACTGTAATTGGAAAATAAATAAATAAACAAACAAACAAACCCCCCTGACGTGGGCATTCAAAATATGTAATTGGTATTAACAGCACTTTCTTTTTACATTTACAAAAGGGTAGAAAGTACAGAATAATCACATCAAAGTAAAAATCACCCCCCCCCAATAAATACATAGAAATAAGCTAAAATATTTATAACAATTTTCCTGGGTCATGGGATATTTTACAATCTTCTTTCTACAATTAAAAAAATGCCATTTAACTTAAAAAAAAGGAAAAGAAAAATATAGAGGCTAAGGTCATGTGTTAATACTTAGTTTCAGGTGGGGAATTTAAGTCAAGGGCACCTGGTCTTAAACGGGTTCTGTGCAAATGGACTGTCAGATGAAGCATTTAATGTACTGCTTTCATCAGAGGTAAGGATCGTTGGTCAGCAGTTTTATTTATTTTTTATTTTTTTGGAAAAAGCTAACCAACAATATAATTAGCTTTGTTTTGTCAGCCTGGGCTGCTGTTGATGAGGTGTCTAGAGGCCTTCTGGTATGGGTGCCTCAGAGCTTAAATGGCATTTAATTATTATTATTACTCAATGTCAGGCTCCATAAATGAAAAGAGATAAAAAAGAATCGCTCGCAGCTACACTGCTTTGGTTGGTGATTTCATCACATCTCAGAAGCAAAGCAGGTTGGAGATGGCAGGTGGGGCATGAAACCTCTAAGGAGAACCCGGCAACTGGAGATGCTGTTTCAACTGTCTGTGAAGTTCCTCCACAAGATAGGGAGGGAAGAGGCCTGCCACTCTTTGATTTTCCTCCCCAATTTTATTTTAAAATACCTTAAGCACTGGCTGACTTACTTCAGAGAAGGAAAGCAAATAGGAGGAATGGCGTCACACGGAGAGTTGTCTTAAAGATACACGGCCTCTCATGTAAGATTCCTTGGCAGCTGATGGCCTGACCTGCTGCCTGAAATATCAGTGAACATTCCCAAGGAGCAGTGGTACTGAAAGACTCAGCTAATCAAGGTAACTGGAAGGGGGAGGATGCTTTCCTACCTCAATGCCAGCCGAGAGCAAGGCACAGACCAGGAGGCAGCGGAAGACAGATGGACAAAGTTATGTCCACTCTTCCTACAGTCTATTTCATCGACAGGTCAGAAGGAAACCAGATGGTTTGCCAGAGGGCAATATATTGGCAGACAGTACCTGCTTCTTAGCATGAGATATCAGGCTGCAAGGAACAAGAGCTTGGTGCTGAGTTAACCCTAGACGTTCAGCTCAGGGATGACCTTCTTTCCTCCTTGGATTAAAAAGAGAATAGACCAGGTGGCCCAGCATGGTCAGAAGACCAGAGGCCTTAGCTGCATTCTAGCCCCTTCTTTTTATCTTTTTATTCCCTAGAGCAAAACCTTGATGGTAAGGTTTGCAAACCCTTCAGGTCCCAGGACAGGGACCATGATCTGCAGTGTTATTGAACCCAGGATGAGTATAAGATTTGTTTAAAAAAAATTTTAAAATATGTTTTTATTGATTTTAGAGAGAGGAAAGGAGAGAGAGTGTGAGAGAGAGAGAGAGAGAGAGAAACATTGATGATAAGGGAAACATTGATTGGCTGCCTCCTACACACCCTGTACTGGGGATTGAGCCTGCAACCCCAGGCATGTGCCTTGACAAGGAATCGAACAGGGAACCTCCTGGTGCACAGGTTGATGCTCAACCCCTGAGCCATACCAGCCAGGCAAGTGTAAGGTTTGTATACAACAAGTACGGAATATAGGTGCTGACCAACAGTCTCAGAGTCCCTGGCCTGCCAGCATCTGTTGTAGAACCTTCTATGGATGAGGACCCAGAATCAGGAGAGTGGAGAATGCGGAAAATGGAGAGAATCAGTAGATAGAGGAGAGACGGCAGAAAATGGAGAGAATTAGTAGATAGAGGAGAGAATGAAAAAAACGGAGAGACAGGTCATGATGCCAGGGGCTATTGCCTTTTGAGAGCTGCCAGGGAGACTTAGGCCATCCAGGCTCTTCATCGCTACTGTCACCATTTTTACCAGTTCTTTGTTGATTTACAGCAAACCCTCCCAAACATCAGTGGCGTAAAACCACAACAGTTTATGTACCGCATGATCTGTGGGGCAGCAGATTGGACAAAGTTCAGCTGGATAGTTCTTCTGCTGGTCTCATCCATGACAGTCGGGGGTCAAAGCCTCACTCACGTATGTGGCAGTTGGGTTGGCCATGAGTTCCTCATCATCCTGCAGGCTTTCCTCAGCTTGTTTCTATGGTGGGGATTGTGGGTTCCCAAGGACATAAGCAGGGATAAGTCTGACTGCACAAGTGCTTTTCAGGCCTCTTTGTGAAGCACATTTGCAAACACTGCATCAGCCAAAGCAAGCCACATGGCTGAGCCAAGGGTCAAAGTTAGAGACAGTGGCTGGGACACAGGCAGGCAACAATCTTTCCAACTCCCAGGGGTGATACTTTATTGTCTGTAGATTTCCAAGATGCTGAAGAGGGTCTCGTGGAGCCAAATGTCCTAACTGAGTCTGTATCTCCACTTTTCAGGCCTCCATTTCCCCATCTGATAAATGGGAATAACATCCACCCCACAGGGTTGATCCAGGATCAATAGGGGCTAAAAATAATAAGTATTGGCTGTGATGCTTATAAAATGGGTTCACAACTTCTCAACCTACCTGCTGGTCTCCATACGCAGTGCCTGTGCAGGCAGGAAGCTCACTGTTGGTGGTGGTCCACCAGAGGGTTTTAGGTGGAAAAGCACCGGGAATAACATGAACTCCTGTGAAACTCACCCGCCATCCGTCGTTCTTTTCCAGTCCTTCCTCTTAGAACGCTGAGTTTGATGCTGATATGTCTTTACCACCTCCTGCCACGTGTTAAGCGTCGTGTTCAGCTTTTGGATCTATTTAGAATTCAGTATTGTTTTATTTTTTAAGTTTTACCTTTTTTTCTAGTTATGACAGCTGATAATTTAAGAAATAAATATAAATAAACCTCAGTAGATTGAAAAACAATGTTAAATATATAACACGTGGTTCATTCATTGAGTTTAACAAATCTTTGCAGGGCACATACCATGTGCCAGGCTTGTTCCTATCTTTCATCCGAGAACAGAGTCAAGCCCCTGCCCGGGCGGGGCTTACAGTCTCTGGCAAGGAGCCGATGGCGGTCAGGAATGGGCTGGATTTGGGGATGTGCTTTTTGGGGGGACACACAGGTGCCCGTCTGCCCGCCTCCTGCCCTGCAGAGCGGTGGTGCTGGAGTCGGGCAGAGGCCCGGGCCGCCCCTTCCCTCGAGTCCGAGGCGGGCCGGGGGCGGTCGTCGGGTCCGGGCTGCGCGGGGCGGGCCGGGCCGGCCGGGCTGTGGCTGCGGCCGCCTGGGCCGGGCTCCTCCTCCCCTTCCTCCCGCCGAGGCTGACGTTGAGGCGACAGCGCGGGCGGCCGCAGGAGGCGGCGGCGCAGCGGCTCCGGGGCTCCAGGCCCGCGCGGGGCCGGGGTGGCGGCGGCGGCGCAGCGGGAGGTGCAGGTGGAGGCGCAGGCGGCCGCGGAGGAGCAGGAGGGCGGCGTCCATGCAGCCCGCCCGCGCCTGCAGGAGGAGGCTATGAACGGCGACCGGACCGAGAGCGACTGGCAGGGGCTGGTGAGCGAGGTGAGGCCGAGGCGCCGGCCAGGCGGGATGGGCCGGGCCGAGCGGCCGCCAGCCCCGGGCCCGCGCTCCCCGGTGGCCGAGCAGAGGCAGGGACGCGCCGGGGGACGTGCGCGGTGGCCGCGGCGCCCTTCCCCCGCGCGACCCGCCAGGTGCGCCGTTCCTCCCGCACTTTCCGGTTTATTCCGGTGCCACTTTCTTCCACGCCATCTGGTGACAGCCTTTGGGGAGGGGCCTTCCCTCGGGCAGGGCTTGGTCCTGGATTGGAGAGAGAAGCCCGGGGATCCGGGAGGAGAAGGAGCCAAGCCCCACCTGCCTTCCGAGTCACCTCTGTTTTGGAGCCAAGTGATTGGACACCTAGTGCCGAAATGGAAAGGTGGTGCCAGGGGGGAGGAAATCCGGGCTCTAGGGCAACACAGGGCCAGGTGGCATTACCCGCAGCGGAGGTTTGGGTAGGGACGTTCAGGTTCCTCCGTAGCCTTCATTCATTCACTATTCAATTACATCAACACGTGTTTACTGGCGGCCTACTAAATGAAACACAGGTGCAAACGCTATGTGATTTGTGGAAGCAGATAACTCCATGCCCCTCTATTTTGTCATAAACACTCCTGGGTCTGCTTTTGGACTCCAATGCCAGTTCCTCGTCAGTCCACCCTAAGAGATTTTGGCTTGGGAGGGGCTACCTGATTCCTCTAGGTGAGAGGGATTGCTGATGTCTCCTTCTCAGGTAAGTTGCTTGTGCTGACTTACCACCACCATTTGTGATGGCAGTTACCCATGTCACCTAGCCAGGCTGACGTCGGCCAGATGTTTGATCTTTCCCTCCTGAGAAGTATCCTCCATCCCCAAGGCCCAGTGGGGCGTCTTGTCCTCACCTCCTGTGTGCACAAGCAGTGTACTTTCTCTTCTAAACATTTTCTGGGCCTTCAGGTCAGCCTGATAACAATACTTAACGTCTAGTGTGTGCAAAGCATTGTATTTCTGAAGAGGTATGAGACCCCAGAGCTTATTCTGTAGTTTAATTTGTTTACTCTTGGTCTAGTAATGGAAAACTCCCAACTGCACAGCATTATGATACATTGTATTGCAGCTTCTCCCCCTCCCCCAACATTTCAGAGTTTATGTCAAGAGCTAGATCCTCTGGGCATCTTTTCTCTTGGCCCATCAAGAATCATACCCAGCAGTCAAGGAGGCTGGAGGTGGTTCTTCTTAGAAGTCTGGTGCTGGACTCTGAAATAGCAGCAGAATATTCACCACACCCACAAATACTCACCGGATGCCTATTAGGAGTCAGGTTTGTTGCTGGATCCTTGGGATTCAGTGGTGAAGAGAGAATCCTTCTTGCCATCAAAGGACTCCTGGAGCATATGGTACAGGTTGAGACTGGCCTTCCCAAACTATACCAATACTAAGAGAATACAAAAGAATGCATATGAAGGATGGACAACCAAATGAAGGAGGGGCACTGTGTTGTAATCAAGCGGCCTCCCTGCTAGGCTGTGTGCTTTATTTGGCTTTTTTTCTAGTGGCCTACACACAGCACCGTACAGAGCAGGTGCTCAGAAAATGCTTACAGAATAAGTTGAGTTCCAGGACTTGTCCTGCCCATCCCAGCTGTGTTTCTCCAGAGTTATGCCTTCTTGTCTTCCACAGACATCCATTCACGGTTTAGGGTGTGGAAGACACACAGTGAGGCACACAGTGAAAATGAACGCAACATGCGTCCTGCCTTCATGATAGCTAATGGCTATTTCTTGTGTCCATCTTCCATGTTAAGCATTTTACATGGCCCATTCTCATAGTGGCATAAGGGAGAAATGATTTCTTATATTACAGATAAGGAGGCTGTAGTTCAGACAGACCAAAGAACTTGCCCAGAGCCTCACAGCTGGAGGGGCAGAATTGGAAGTTTGGTCTATCTGACTCTGGAGCTTGGGATCACTAGGCCACATTTTGTATTTTAATCATCTGTTCATCTTTTGTATCTTCCACTGGACAGTAGGTTCTCCAAGGGAGGGCACCGTGTCTCATTCATTTTTGAATCCTCAGCAACTAGATTAAATGTTTCCCAGAATATGGTCTACGGATCACTTGTATCAGCGTCATTTTAGGAACAAAGAGTGCAAAGAGTCATTTTGCATTTTGGGGAAAAATGCAAGATTTCGAGTCTCACTCCAGATCTACTATAGTGGATTGAAATCTCCCTCCCCACCCTCCAATGGATACATCTACTTAACGTCCCTTCCCCCGTGTTTGGAGATAGGGTTTTTCTGATATAATCAAGTTTAGAATCTCAGGATAATATCAGGGTGGGCTCTAAATCTGAGTGGTGTCCTTATAAGAGAAGACAGAGTTGAGACCCAGAGAGATACAAGGGAAAGGGCTAGGAGGAGACCGAGACACACCCACAGGAAGGTCACATGGAGACGGAGACAGAAATGGGAGTAATGCAGCCACAGGCCAGGGAATGCCAAAGTGGCCAGCAGCCACCAGAAGCTGGACGAGGCCTGGAACACATTCTGCGTCAGAGCCTCCAGAAGGACCCAATCCTGCTGTCGCACTGAGTTTGGACTTCTGACCTCCCCAGCTGTGATAGGGTACATTTCTGTTTTAAGCGACCTACTTTGTGGTAACTTGTTATGGCGGCCACAGGAAACTAATACACTTAGGGCATGAACGTGCCTGGGTAGAGCCCCTAATCTACCTTTTTCACAAACTGAGCTACCCAGGTTCTTCCCCTGCTCACTCAAGTTCAGCTGGCCAGGTATGGACGGGGCTTGGTGTGGAGACCTGGCAGGTGTTCAGCCAGGTGGGATTTAAGAAGAGTGTAGTCAGTGGCCAAGGGTGTTGCAAAGTGGTTTTGGGCCCCAGCCAAAGGAACTGGGGGAGACACCACCAGACAGCTGTCTGGGCCGAATGGGCTTTTGGACCCACTCACATCTATTTGTGCAGAAGTCCTGGTTGCTGCCTCCCACTCAGGGGCTGCACTCCAGTACCCTTCCTGCCCAGAGCTCTGCACTCTCTTTCAATTAGTTTGCTTCCTTAGCTTGCCTCTAGGAAGCAGTTTTCATTTAAAATGATTCTACAGAGATCAGTTTTATTTTCATATTTTGAGTATAACAAGCTGAAATTACAGCCTTCTCTCTGGCCCTGGAGTAAGTGTGGCCATGCATGGGAAAGGGGCTTGACTGGTGTTCTGTTTGGAAAATTAAATGTCTGGGGAGGGGGAAATGTTCTTCTTATCACCACCTGAGGTGAGCTTTCAAAATCAGGGGGAAATCTTAAAATGCAGTCATGTGGGCAATCAATAACTTTTTATTTCCCAGATAAAAGTCCTGGTCATTGCTCAGCTCAGTGCCCTCTGATAAACCATGCTTAATTCAGCTCCACTATTTGAGTTTTGGTTAATTAATTAGATAGCAATCACTCTTGTATTCCTTGAATGCGTTGTATGCAGTGGCTGTGAGGCAGACAGAAGACAAGTTAGCCCTGGGCCCCTTCCCCAAGTGCAGCCACTGACTTTTGGAAGGGAGGGGCTGCAGCATGGAGAGTCTGGGCCAGTGGTCAAGGGCGCAGCTGGGTCTCGGTTGTTGACTGAGATCTGGGGGTGAGTCTTGGCTCTACCTCTTTCTTTTCTTTTCTTTCCTTTTTTTTTTTTTTTAATCATCACCCGAGAATATGTTTATTGATTTTAGAGAGAAAGGGAGGGATTGAGAGAGAGAGAGACAGACAGACAGACAGACATCTATATGAGAGAGAAACATCGATTGGTTTTCTCCTGTACATGCCCTGACCAGAAATTGAAGTCACAACCTAGGTATGTGCCCTGACCAGGAATTGAACCCGAAACCTTCTGGTATATGGGACCATGCTCCAACCAACTGAGCAACTCATCCAGGGCTCTACTTCTTTCTTGATACAAATGATCAAAAACTCAACCCAAAGTGGTTCAAATCAGAGGGAATTTATTGGATGATGTTATGGGTCAAATTGTGTCCTCAAAATGATATGTTCAAGTCCTAGCCACCCCTCCCCCATCTATGAATGTCACCTTATTTGAAATAGGATCTTTGAAGAGGTCATCAAGTTAAGATGAGGTTATTAGAATGGGCTCCTAATCCAATGACCAGCATTTTTATCACAGGGAGAGGGAAATTTGGACACAGCTGCACGAAGGGAAGACAAGGTGAAGTTGCAGAGGAAAGAAGGCCATGTGATAACGGAAGCAGAGACGGGAGTAATGCAGCTCACAGCCAAAGGACGCCAAGATCACTGGCCACCACCCGAAACCAGGGAGACGTAGGGAAGGCTTCTCCCTCGGAGCTTTATTAAGGAGAACGGCCCTGCTGACATCTTGATTTTGGACTTCCAGCTCCCAGGAATATCAGAGAATTGACTTCTGTTGTTTCAAGACAATAGCTATGGCCCTTCGCTGTGGCAGCCCTGGCAAACTAATACAGCTGATGTGACTAGTAGTTCCAAGACAGGGCGACTTCCGGCGCCGCTGGAGTCGGCGCTCAAGCAGATGCGTGCTCTCCATCTTTGGGTCTGCTTGCTGCCTGCCTTCTGTCTCAGCCTCCCCTCCTTCAAGTTCAAGTCCAGAGGAGAAGCCAGAAACTCTTCTGTGTCGATCCCATAAAATCCCATAAAATCACTGAGATCATTTGCCTTCCCTGGGAGAGGTTGCTCAGGAGTGTCAGGATGTGACTGTCTTAGGCCAGCGGTTGTGCACGGGGCCCTGCCCAGACCACATGGACTGAGAGTGGGCTGGGACACGAGGCCGTTTGCCAGAAGAAGGGGAATGGATGTTGAGAGACTCACCGCACTGTACAACTTCTCTGAGCCTCTTTCTCTCATCTTCAAATAGGATAATAAAGTACCTCCCTCATAGGTGCTATAATTGTGAGACTCGAATGAATGAACCCTTGTTAGTGCATTGCTCTCCGCCTGGTAGGAAGTGTTCAGTGACCACTGGTACAGTAAGGATGAACCTCAGGACA